AGACTGCTCTGTAATGTATAAATATTCCATAAAAGGTTAAAGGTTTGAATGCATTGACACGATATGTTAAATTGTTCTCTGTGATATCTAAATAGAAGGTGTGTAAGCGCAACTTAAGTAAGCGCAACAAAGTCCATATAGAACTTTAGGAATCTAACCTTAAATGATAAGACATGATATGACACTTATTCCTTCATTCAGTCATTAGTATTTGTAGACTTTTAATATTTCAGCACACTTGGACCAGTTCTGGAGGAGAAAACTACAAACTAAAAAAATAAATAAATAAAATAAATATTCTGACATCCAAGCTTTAGACACAAAGTAAAGATGACACATTTTTGGCTTAAGTGACAAAACTTCAAATCAATATTCAATGCTATTTCGGTGTCATTAAAAACAGCATTATTATCCGTGTAATTAAATCATTTCAGTGTGTCAATGCACAAAACTCTATTTATATACTACAGTACAGAGCTTGATGCTTGTTTTGGCTTCGTAGGAAAAGCCAGCCATCTGACTGAACTTCAGCTTTGAAGGCACTTGGCTTGAACTACAAGTATACTCTCAAGATAAACCAGAACTGTGAATCCACAGCCGGAAGATGTAAGAAAACGAGTGAAAAAAGAGATATAAAAGGGGAGGGGAAACAAAGTATGCACAACAATCTCCCTCAAATGCCAAGATGAATTAAATCTGACTGTCCCTCGCCTGCGGAGGACTAAATGCATACCAAACAACAAGGCCCTACAGCCTTTAGCTTCAACTTTGATATCTATCAACACACTTCTATGCACACAATTGAAAAAGAAAAAAGCAAGATAAAAAAGAAAAAAGCCTTCTCACTATTTATACTGAATAATAAATCCCAAGAAGCTGTACAGCAAACATTGCATCCTCGTTGCCTTGACCTCAACCTTTGTGAATGTCAGGATGCAAAATTATATTTACTTAAAACTATTGCACACAAAAATGAAAGCATGCAAGATAAATGATCAACGTTTAGCACAATCCATTAATAAAACCCAATAAAAAATCATGTAAGTAAATTGATGAAAAAAATGTATGGCTAAGCAATATTTAGATTTACTGTGTCTCTTTCTCGGTTAAACAAATTGTAAGTAAAGGTTGAAATGAAATTACATTACAATAGTGTTGACCTGACAGTTAAGAATCCCGTTGAGCACAATACAGCTGACTGCCTACATAAAGCAATATACACACATAGCAGGTGGTGTGTTATTATTTATAAAGAGTATATAAATAGTGTGCAATTATTTCGATGCACTTTCAGGCACTTTAAACACAACTCTGGTCAGTCAGCTCTGTAATTTGACTGTCCAGATGTACAACTATGGCAGTCCTGAATACACATGACTATTGAAACGTAAAAATGAAACCATACAATTGCCAGCATCATGTGTTGTCATAAACAAATGGTGATTTCCCTCACCTGCAGAATTACTTATGTACGTAAGAATTAGAATTATGTACGTTGTTATGGCTGCTGATCAAGAGGAAAATGAAAAGAATACCATCAACACTCTCGAGCACAACATTTTTTTGTTTCAAAAAATAAAATCTCCGCCCCCTCCATTCAGCCTGAAAAGGATGATTTTTGATCACTCACGCTCACTGGGAATGTGCATGTGCTTGCAGTGCACCAGTTGTGTAATAGTCATATGAACAAGGCTTAATGAATCGGAATAATACTTAATCAACCAGAACTTCAATCAGAGAGTGACTATGGACAATCGCACCTCTGCTTTCAAAAGTCAACTAGCCAAACAGAACACCTGAAAAAATGCTCTGTTTTCACAGGTCAAATATGCCAGAGTATTGTAAACACCAAGGCATAACATTCTACTTTTTAAAACAAAAATCATTACTGTAAACAACACCTTAGTACACTGTCTGGTTATATCTAATAACATTTTACTTTAAAGATCCAAAGACTGAAACACACAAAGCTGATGCCAAACAACTAGCACCAACAAATACCAACTTTGTTGTTGGCTCGTGTTGGATCGTGTCTGTACCAAAAAGGTGTGCGTGATCACATCAAACAAACAAAAGTAGACTGAGGGCCTACTCACACTATGCTATCCGAACCATGCCCAGGCCCGTTTCCTGGATCATTAGAGAAGTGTGAGTGCGCTGAATCGGGCTCAGGCGCGATTCACTTATCCGGCCCTGGCCCGGTTGGAAGAGGTGGGCCAGAGCGCGGCTCATTTGGGCTTTGGCAGGGTATGTTTGTAGTGTGAGTGCAAAACGCGCCAAAGCCCGAAACTGAAAGCGAGACGTGACTTTAAGGGACTGTTTCATATGGATTTATTAATCATTCTTACTGTTCAATGAACGCCAACTGCTGTAGTTTATTAAAGAAACAAACCCCTCACTGCACAACAGCTGTGCACCTTCAGCAAACCTCCTCAATCCTGCAGCACGAGGGCTTTATGATTGTTTATGAGCGCCAAAAGTGGCGGATCTGTTCGGCAAAATATCTTACTGCGTGTCACCGCATCCCTAAGGACTGTTTGGCAAAATATTTGACTGCATGTCACTGCATATCAAACGACTGAAACAATATAACTAGATAAATCTCCACTGCACTGCTGAGTGACATCGCTTCTCACTGAGGCCCGATTGTGGTGTGAGTGCGGGCCGTCGGGGAAGACGGGAGAGGGGACAAGCGTGCTTTGGCCCGGTTCGAGGCAGTTGTACCAAGTGTGAGCATGGCATAAAATGAGAGCCGTAGTTTTCAAGAGTTCACACTTAGCTCATGAGATCCTCGAGCCTAGGGCTCCCTCCCGTTTGCAAGGCGAGAGGAGAGTTTGAGCTCAGGTAGATCTCGAGAACTCGCCTGTCATGGTGGATGAAGAGCAGATAGTAGTTGCTCTTAAAGAGGTAGGTACTAGGTAGGGGCAAGGCTATGGTGTTGATTGGGATTAGTCAATAAACTTAGGTTGCATGTTTTTGATCGGTGGGAGGAAACCTAGAAACCCGGGAGAAACCCACATGAGCACGCGGAGAATGAGCAAACTTCGCACAGAAACATCTGCTGGTTTGGTAAAGCCTGGAACCAGAGACGTTTTTGCTGTGAGGCAACAGTGCTAAGCATTGGGCCACCATGTCACTCATCTAGGAAGGATGAGGAGTAGGTGTGAAAGGGTGGATGCTTCAAAATGAAAATAGCAGTGATACGTAACCCAGGGTATTTGTAGAAGCTTAGGAGTCGTCTGATTTGTGCATTGAGAATTGAATAATGTGGGTCCAGCCGCTAGCAATCATAACCACGTGATCCTCTCGAAATTAGTTTATGAATAAACTTCACTTTGTGCTCTGTGAGAGGCAGAAGTCTGTTTTCTTGTTCCACAAAGGCAACCCAATACAGCACACCTGTGATTTCCTCATTCTTATTGAGCAGCAGTATAGACAGTGCTCCTGACTGTTACACATGATGAAAGCATGACCAGTGCTTTCTGTACATGCTTTTTTCCACACTGTGCGTGCATCATCTGCATAACAACCCTCAGAGCGGGCTTTACCATGGCAGAGCAAACTAAAGATGCGCTGTCCTTGAAGGATGTTTAGCTTGCATTACAAAATGGTCAGTTTACTGTTAGGAAACACACATCAGGCAAGTCCTTTTCATGTGTCATAGATGGAAATGGAAAAAACAACAACTTTTGCGCGATGTGATAATTGCTCAAAGTTTTACTCTTTAGCAGTCACAAAACTGTAGCCTCAGGTTTAAGGTCTCACTTTACAAAGGGGCAAACAAAACTGACATTTAGCATACAATTCTTGCACAACCTACAGTTTATCTGCCATCTCCCTCTTCTTGTAGGGCCCAATTTAAACGTGAGATTTTGGAAACCAGATTTAAATTTAGATGGATTGGCCACGCAGAAAATGATTCTAAGCGGACTGCAGGTGAACAAAGACTGAATATACAGCAGGAGTGGTCCATAAAACATCATGGGAACGGGCGGGACGATAAAAACAATCCTCTACAGAGCTCTATACTGACACACACAGACAAAGCGTAAACAAAGCAGCATTTAGTTACTGTACATTATCACAGTAATTGTCACTCACCATCGAGGGTTTAATGAAAATTTGTGCAAAATCTCTGACAATCTAATAATTCACTTCATTTACAAATATTTGAGAAATGTAGCAACATTATAGCCAGCCTCTTTGAGACCATTTTTGCTTTGAATTGTTTACTTGCTTCATCTTTTTAATTTGTCACACTAACTCTGATTCGTTGCTGAATAACAAGTCAGACTTCAGCCAATGGTCAGACGTCAATTCAACACACTGAATCAGGCAAAAGAGCTCCAACATTAACCCAATGATGGGTGCACACAAACCAACATGGTACACACAAACCAACTAGCCTGACCAACAAACCCAGTGGTGTGTCCTGCTTGTGTCTGACAAAACCCCCCACCACACCAAACTCCAAGTCTATATATTTATATATTGTAAGTATCTGGCATGTCCAATCAATCAAAAAGAAACAAAAAAATAAATAAGTGCAAGTTAAAAACTAATGCAATAAAATTTCAAAAGGCAAACACATTTTACTAATTCACTGCATTTGCAAAGCACCCATCACATCTGTCTTTAGTTTCTTGATTAGGAATATTTTTAAACAATGTCTTACATATATAATTGTTGAACTGTCAAAATCTGCAAAAGCAAGTATCTGTCTTTTATAAATGTGCACAAAATGAAATAGTTTGTGGACATTACAGAAGAGTTTGGCTTCAGCACAGCCAGCACAATTACATCTATTGTGCTTCTTCATCAGTCGGCTTTATTAATAGTGTGTGGTTGGTGAGGTTAATGCATCCTTGCATTCTCAGCAAGCTTATCTTACAAAATTCTAAGAAGCATATACATTACAGAGAAAGCAATAGTGTAATTTACTCATAATGTGTGTGCTATTTAATTGCAACTTTCAAATTAAACGAATGAAGTGTGAATACCTGAAAAATGTGACAAAGAACTGCACCAGGTCCATGATGCTGCTGTGCTGGGAGAAGGATATCTGAGAGAAAAAAAGAAGAAAATATATTAGATTATTACTATTCCAGCAAAATGTCACAAAAATAAAGCCCAAATCTATTTATAAAGGGACATATCATATTGTGACACATTTGTTGCCTGGATGTCTCCTAAAAAGCTTTATTTATACTAACATAATAGAAGAAGATGTGGCTTATGTTAGAAACAAAACACATGAGTTTGCAGTGCATTTTAAATGGCTTAATTCGATGCATTTTTTTAATCACCAAATGGCTTCGTTTTTAAAGGAAAAAAGTAGCAAGCTATGAAAACTGGGCTAGGTGACAAAAAAATAAACTACTATTGAATCATGTTTAAAAGCTTTTTAAAAAACAGATGGCCTGTAATAAACTTGACATATAATTTAATCAAGCGTTCATGTTGTTGATCTAATTTAACTTGAATTTGTTCTGCACCGTACTCTGCAAACTTTCTGTAGAATAATAAATGCTTCTAATCAAAATATTTTTTCCTTGACATGTAAGTAGTTTTATTACATATTCATGGCATATTAATTTCTACAACTTGGCAGGGTTCCTTAGAAAACAAGCTGCCTGCATTTGCTCACATATAATATTTCACGTTCATTTCCCAATATTGCATTTTCCGAAAGACTCCGAGGCACCAAAGCACAAGATTTTTTCAGAAAGAAACAGCTTGCTTGCTTATCTGCATTGTAGAGTATTGTAATCCACATAATAGCAAGCAATTATAAGTAAACTAATTATGCAGTAAAACATTTATTCATTTCATTACTGAGACACTAGGCGAAGAGAACTAACAATGGTAGCACAATATTGAAGCTGCTGTCAAACCCCTTATTAAAAGTAGCATATCTCAAATTTAACGGGCTACTGAATTGAATAACTATGAGCACATTTAGAACATTGTTCTTGATCAATTAAATGATGCTACAAAAATAACCAAACATTTACCTACAGTAACAATTGCACTTTCTATTGTATAAAATACTTTGGCTTAATACCACAAGTGTAGAAGGGAAGTTTTCTGGTTGTTGTAGTTTTACAGTATTGTGTTGTTGTTGTTGTTGTTGTTGTTGCTGTTGTTGTTTTCTCCCAGGGTCAGTATAATTAATAATAAAAGGTGAATTTGACAACATTCATTCATTCTTTTCGGCTTAGTCCCTTTTGTAATCTAGTGTCGCCACATCAGAATGAACCGCCAACTTATCCAGCATGTTTTTATGCACCGGATGCCCTTTTAGCCGCAACCCATCCCTGGGAAATATCCACACACACTTATTCACACTCATTCACTACGGACAATTTAGCCTACCCAATTCACATGTACCGCATGTCTTTGAACTGTGGGGGAAACTGGAGCACCCGGAGGAAACCCAAACGAACGGAGGGAGAACATGCAAACTCCACACAGAAACACCCACTGACCCAGCCGAGGCTCGAACCAGTGACTTTCCTGCAGTGAGGCGACAGCACTACCTACTGCACCACTGCTTTACCCAATTTGACAACATATTTCCCCAAAATATTGGAAAATACTATTTTGTTTTTTTATTCTGTGATGAAAGTAGCATGACTGATTTCACAAGAAATCTAAGAAGAAAAAAAAGAAAAAAAGAAAAAGGCAAAAAAGAAAAAGAAATGAAGAAAAAAAAAAGAAAAAAGGAAAAGAAAAATAATTGAAAAAGAAAATGAAAGAAGAAAAAGACGGAAAGAAGAATGAAGAAAAAGAAAAAAAAAGGAAAAAGAAAAGAAACAAAAAGAAAAAGAAAAGGAAAAAAAGAAGGAAAAAGAAATATAATAATCATTTAGAAACGTTGCAATAAATAATAACATAATAAAAAAAAAAACTTTTTTGTAATTTTTTTATTATTAAACATATTTTACTTTGTGCATTAACATAATGGCTTCCAATTTTGCACAAATAAATAAATAAACAAACAAACTCATTATACTATGTACATACGGTGGACGCAAGAGTCTAGAATCCACTAGGACTGAATGTCTGTTATGGCTAATTCATTACATTACATAACACGTGCCGATACATAATTATCCAGTATTTAAAATCACTGGAGCTCAGTAGATTATCATTTCTCCCTTTCCTCACTTACGTAATCAGTACAATCATCTCAGTCTGTTATAAAATGCATTTGATTTTTCAACTGTTGCAGTCAGCCTCACAAATAAGATCCTTGGTTCCTGTCCATTCACTGATTACTTCAGCTACAAGACCAAATCATTTGCCTTTTCAATATCTGAGGCCACTCACATCGATTGCTTATGAGAATCCAATAAATAATTCTCCCAACTAAACCTATCTAAATCTAAATCCACACTCCGTCTCCATCAAAAATAAAGAAATAAATAAAACAAAAATCGACCATCTGATAAAAGAAAATGTCATTTTGTGATTGATTTGTAAATGTCAGATGTTATCAGAATGATTTATTTTTCAAGAAGTGGCGTGCTTTAAAAAGTTCAGCCGACAACGTGTGTTTACTTAGTTTGAATGAGTTTTGGACTTTGGGCTAGTTTTTTTTTTAGAGGACGCACTGTTATTGACTGCAAAAACAGGCAGCAATATAGCTTTTCTAAAGCTTTTCTCGAGGTCCAGAGTTTTTTATTTTTATTTTATTTTTTTTTTTTAATTAACAGTTAATTTGTTGTTGAATTTAACAAAAAAGATATTAATTCATTAATTTTCCTTTGGCTTAGACCCTGATTATCAGAGGTTCCAACAGCGCAATGAACCACCAACTATTCTGGCATATGTTTTATGCAGTGGATGCCCTTCCAGTCACAACCCAGTACTGAGAAACATCCATATTCTCATTCACACACACACATACACTAGCTATTTTTCCATCCAAAGATGTGAATTAACTTTATGCGCAAAACCGGATTATCGGATAAAAGATGTGCAAATAGAGCAGTGTTTCTATCCAATGAGTCAAAGCGAACAAAATTGTAACATCTGGCGCCAAATATCAACAGTAAAAACGGAATTTGCTGCAATAAGAGAAGCGGTGTAAACCTTTTATTTTTATTTAATAAATGACTTGCACCTCAGAAGGCAATCCTGACACACAGTGAACGTGCGGTGGTGTTTGAAGGCGTCAGAAATGGAGCACAGACGCTCTTGATTCGGTAGGTCATTAATAATGTAATAACACTAATACTGAAACGGTTAAAGCATTTCAGAATGACCAAAACAACATTTCAGATGTTTTATAATGTACTCAGCCTACTAGTTTGTCCATTCACACATATTTTTATCATCACATGATCTCTTATAACAAAATCACATGACCTTTTTAATGTGCATACTCAAATTTGTTTAGTAAAAGTGTTTTCATCTCAGTTTGTGCGCATCTTTTCTTATCGAATAAAAAGTTTATCCTACTCAGTTATGCGCGTATGTTTTTATGCACATTTTCAAAAGTGATGCGCATCTTGGCGTTTCCCTCAACCATTTTTTAATGCACACATTCAAACCAAGCAACCGTCTTGCTGTCAGGCGACTGTGCTAACCACTGACCCACCGTAATAAAGGCTTAATACATTATTAATTTCATTTTTATTTAAATTTTTATGTGCATAGTAGAATAGGCAAGACAAGTTAACACTTTGACAATTCAAAGTGCTTTAAATAAAACAAGAATAAAAAAGACAAGTTTAAGAACATAAAAAAAACAATAAAAGTGATTTAAAACAGATTAAAATGAGTTAAAACAGGTTATAAAATAATGAAAAAGAAAAAGAAAAACATAATAGTATGATCTGTCGGACGTATGACAGTGCTCATTAAGAAAAGGCACAGCTAAACAGATGTGTTATCAGTCTCAATTTGAATGTGCCTAGTGTTGGAGCAATACAACAAATTGCAATTGGACTAATGAAATAAAAAACTACAAGACCACGAAAGCCAAGCAACAACAACAAAAAAGAATTTAAATGATCATTAGATGTAGCACTACATGGACATCGGAAATATAAGATCTGTGCAAAAATATTTAAGACCTAGAACAGCGAATTTAAGACTTTTTAAGGTCAATTATTTTTTTTTAATTTTAGACTTTTATTATTGATGTTGCTTTTGGACTGTTTTCAAACAATTTTGTTCATGGCAGCAGCATTTCTAGCAGATCAAGGAGGTGAAATGTTGTTATTTCCTCAAAAAATGTTAACTGGTAAAAAAAAAATATATATATATATATTAATCATTCATTTATTCATTCATTTGTTTTCTTTTAAGCTTAGTCCCTTTATTAATTTGGCGTCAACATATCCAGCATTTGTTTTATGCAGCGGAAACCCTTCCAGCTGCAAGCCAACACAGGGAAACACCCATACACTCTTACAATCGCACACATACACTATGGCCAATTTAGTGGACCCGGAGGAAACCCACGCAAACATGGGGAGAACATGCAAACTCCACACAGAAATGCCAACTGACCCAGCCAGGGGTCGAACCAGCGACACTCTTGATGTGAGGTGATTGTGCTACCCACTACACCACCGTGACGGCCAAAAAAATTAAATAATTGAAATTTGAATGGGATCTATAATATAAAAGAGTTTTGGGACAGTAAAATGGGTGGACTGAATTACTTTTATTCAGCACAACACATAGAAAGGCAACTACGCACATACAAACACTTTATATGTGTACTCAGGCAGTACACAGGGCCAAATATGAGAGCTGCATGTAAAAAGCATGTGTTCATCTGTACCCGGAAGGACAACCAGTGATCAAGAATTGTGACTAACACATCAATTTGCTTTTATATATAGATGGAAGAATGGAGCATTAGGATAGATTGAGAGGAGCGGATGGAGAAGTGTGTGTGTGTGTGTGTGTGTGTGTGTGAGTGTGTGCACGCAGGTGGAAGTGAGGGGGTTGGCCAGCCCTTAAGTGATTTACTGGCATTTGCTTTTTGCAGTGAAAGTGCATGACAATCAAAAACTGAAAGAAAGAAAGTGTTGAGAAAAGCTG